AGATTGTAATATTCTGCTATATATATATATATATATATATATATGCAAGTATTCATTCCATACATGTAGTAGCCTAAATCATCCCGGTATTCCGAACATTTTCATTTTGTGTACAATATACGTACCACATACTACAGAAACAATACGAATAGTATGATAGAATCAAATATAGCCCACAACTGAATGTAGTGCATGCTAGATGTCAAAAAACCAACAAAATGTCGTAGATTCTGTGTGACATCACACAGCAATGACGCATTAGGTGTTTTATAATCACAAAGTAATTAAATCTATGATCATCCTTTTTTCTGCCTGCCTCAACTGAAGCATATATTTTTTGGAAAACTGAAACATGAGCTTTCCAGAATGGGAGTGCAGGTCTAGGATCAGTCTTTTTACAATGGAAAATAAAACTGAACCCCAAACATCACTCCCACTCCGAGATGCTATTTAAATAAATATGGTCCCCTGAGCCACCAACAGGCTTTAATCCATATCAAAGCCTATTGTGCCACTTGACATTTGATTAGAGAAAATACATCTGGTCCTCACACAGGCACTCTGTGCAGAACTGATATGGGTGTTTATCCCATGATAGAAATAGATCCAAGTCTCTGAAGAGCAGCACTGAGCGCGTAAGCCAAGCTGCTAGACTGAAAGCATTCTGAGGGAGTTGAACAATAAAACGGTTTTGCTTTCAGGGCTCAAACACAAGCAGAATGCCAACAAGCACAGACACTAAAAGCTCACTGACTTTAAATGATTCAATGAATTAGTAACTTTATAACTTTATCATTAATAAGTCATCATAAAAAAAAAACACTATAACACTATACTTCACCTTATATAGAGACCAGTCATTCAAAGCTTAATGACATTTCTAACTGTGCATGAAATAATGATCTGTTAAACATTATATGTGAATGTGTATAAACATTATATACATTAAGTTATTACAAAGTGTTACTTATAAATCTGCACTAGGTCCATTAAAAATAAAATAATGTCTAGTCGACTTTATAACTTTACCATTAATAAATCATCAAAAAACACAATGCAATTACAACAGTAATTCAAAGCTTCATGACATTTCAGTAACACTGTACAATAAGGTTTCATTTCTTCACTTTAGTTAACTACATTAGTTAAAATGAATTAACAAGAACCAACAATATTTCTACAGCATTTATAATCTTAATGTTAATTTCTATATTTACGAATAGTTTTAAAATCAAAAGTTGTATCTATTAATGTTGAAGTACAAACTATGAACAATCATATTTGTAACTAACAGTAGCAAAGATTAATGCTGTAAAAATGTATAATAGTCAGTTCATATGAACTAATGTAGTTATTAATGGTAACAAATAAAACCCTATCGTAATGTGTTATTGACATAACTGTGCATGTCAATGATCTGTTAAGCAGTTTTTGATCGGATTTTTTTAATATTATGAATGAACGCTATTATAAAGTGTTACCTATAAATCTGAGTGCTGATTCAAGTCTGGTCATCTGCAAGCAGTCTAACATATAGTGTGTGTGAAGGCATCTAAACAAAGCGTTCTTACATAGCCTACCTTCCACTCGTCTGTTTGTGCGTGCAGGTCCCAGCTCAGAGGGGTTGGAGGAGAGCCTGCGGAGGGGTGGGGGGTGAGAGGGGTAGTGCGGGCTGCTTCTGGTCGGGGTGTGATACTCAGATGTGCTCCGTAGTGCGGGGGGCCGGGGGGCAACGGAATTGGAGGCTGAGTCTATTGACTCTACTGAGAACTGCTGGTCTGTGGTGGCACCATTTTCAGCATGGGTGATGGTTTCTGTCACAGAAGTAGCATGAAGTGAAATGTTTTAGATCATACTTAAGGTCATGAAAATCATATTTGTTAATATGGTTTGAAATAATATTATACATATAAATATATGTTCCTTATGCTCACCAAGACTACAAAATTACAGTACAAATATAGTGAAATGATGCAAAGCTGAATTTTCAGCAGCCATTACTCCAATCTTCAGTGTCACAAGATCCTTCAGAAATCACACTAATGTGCTGATTTGATGTTCAAGTAACATTTCTTATTATTATCAGTGTTGAAAACAGTATTTATGTGGAAACAATGATAAATTTTTCAGGATTTTTTGATGAATAGAAAGTTCAAAAGAACAGCTTTTATTAGAAATAGAAATATTTTGTAACAATGTAAAAGTCTTGCCACGGTCTCTTTTGATCAATTTAATACATAGTTTTGACAAATATAAATTGCACCTAAATTTTCTTTGCATCATTGAATGGATGAATATATTGTTTAAACAGCATCCCAGGATGCACCTAATGAAGCTGTGGCTACTTGTCACTGCTTTCAAAAAGCTAAAATATAAGCTATTTGAACATTTTTGGTCACTACATAAATCCTATACTCCCATCTGTGCTGTTTCATAGTTCTGCTGACTTTAAATTGTATAAAATAGCAATAATAAAGAATAGCTATTTGTTTGTATAAACAAAGGTTTATAGAAGATTTTATTGAAGGTTTATTGAAGTCTAGAGACTACAAGTATACACACCTACAGTATTTAACTAACACATAAACCCCCACTAAAATAAATGCAGGAGGATTCCTGTGTTCTGAATGAATATAAATCTGATGGAACTAGTAACAACATGTCTCAGAGTTTATAATTGTCTTCCAATAGACATGTGCAAACACTACAGATCAGTTTTGTAATGCTGCCAAGACAACTTTTCTTTTTTTTTTTATGAGCTTGATCTACAAGACATTTAATGAGAGCTGAACACACAACACTTATGTCTGTTAAATTATAACAGCAGTAGAAAAATAACCCAAATTAGCAGGTCATTCACACCCTAATAAAAATCAGACACTTAATTAGTTACAATGTAGACGACTTAATTAGGAGGCTGTCTGCATTATTAAGAGTTTTATTATGTGCACTTAATGAGAGAATGAAGAGAGGCGTCCAACTCAACCTAAAGAAAACCCTGTCCTCCATTCACTTTCAGTTCAACCCATCAGAACTGGCTTGGATATATGCTGCATTTATTGTGGCATAAACACTCAATCGATATCATTCACTCTCAGACACTAACGAGCAAAAACACTCGGAACAGCTGAACAGGTCGTACCGTCTGAGGGCAAAGCTTCTGTTCTCTGTAGTTTCGGTGACAGGGCAGCGGTGTAGGTAGTGGATTCTCTGTTGAAACGTCTCGTACCTCGTGCTACAGACAAAGCCTCTGACGTCTCCTCTTTCACTGCAACAGAAGAAAATAGCAGATATAGATCACTTCTGGAAGACCATAGGATTTACTTCTGAAATCACACAAGTTTGGGCTGTGTGATTGTGTATAAAAAATATATAAATATATCATACTGCAATTATTTTGACAACATTTCAATTCAAACAACAACAAACATATTCATCTTAAACTGCTGGTCATACGTCAAGACCTACAGAACACAGTTGAATTCACATAGTATCTGGACTTTAAAGGGGATTTGGATCTCTTTTTGGTCCACTTTAGTTCACTTTTTGTTCATACTACTACTTTTAATTAATTAAATTTTGCTCTAACGTAAACATAACGTAAACATTATTCATATTTAAAAATGTTTAGTTTTAGTAATTTTAGCACTTCAGCTGATTGAAACTTATTTCATTTAGTTGCATTTCTAATTTCTTACCTTTTTTTTTACATTTAATTTTATTTTAGATTTGTTTCAATTACTGGAAATTTCCAATAGTTTTAGTTTCAGATAGCAATAGCAACACCGACACAAACATGCACACATACCTGATTTGCTCCTTTCGTACGGCGTGTGTGTGTTAGTAATTAGTGGACTGAACGGCTGGCTGCTGAACAGGTTATCACAATGCAGGTGGTGACACAGAGTTTCTAGAAAGCGCAGAACGAACGATGCACTGGAGGCAGTGGGGAGCTTGACGTAGTGGATTCCTCCTTCAGAGCGAACTGCATGAAAGTAGAATTTGTGCAAAATTAAAAACACTTAAATAAATGTATTACTCTTAAACATCACCTGGACTAGTCCCCAAAAAAAAAAACCTAGGGGGTGGGGTTGATCTGGCTAAATGGGTGCCGATTAACGGGCCATGGCATCACAGCAGATGGCCCCCACAGTCCTAGCATGGGCCCCACCCCCTGCACACACACAAATATAGACAGGCATACACATACGTACGCTTCCCATGGGGACACCCCAATCAAATGCTCAGAACCAGGTTACACACAGATGTCATCCCTAATTACTCGCAGTCTGATAACATCAGCTGTGCACACACACACACACGCTTCTCTTTAAACATATGCACACCCTTTTCTCTTTTCAGGTCAACCACACACCCATGCTCTCACTTCTCCCTTTATTGTTAAGCACACACATGTTGACAGCCTTAAAATAACATACAACTACACTAATTCAAATGGAGCTCATGTCTTACAGCAATGTGCCATTCAGCTCTCAAAATGCTTTAGATTATGGATCATTCTTCCTTTTAACTCCCTGACATTTTGAAAAATTAACTATGTTTCATATTTGTTAAAACATGCATCACATGTCATGGCCTCAATCAACCTTCGAGTAGATTTCGGTAATATAATGTGTGATGGGGATTTTTTTAAATATTGTGAGTGATAGTAATTACATTTTTCAGTTTTCGGAGAATCCAAAAATAACTAACAAGTTAACTAGAAATAAATTAACTTTTATTTTATTTCTAAACAGCCCTGAAACAGGCAGCGCAAAAACTGAGTTGTCTAGGGATCCTCTTCAAGTAATAATATATTAGTGATGTCAATCAATTAAAAAAAATTTACTAATTAAAAATCACACATTTTTTTCTGAAATTCATCGTGATTAAACCCACCTAACATTAAAGTTTTTAGATATACTTTTATATTGCAATAATTTCACATTTAATCTTTAAATTAATGTAGAAACAACATCAAGACAGTATATTTTTAATGTTTGTTTAATGGCATCTTTATGACTGAAGGCGAGTATCACTGATACCAATACTAACAAAATTGTTTTTTTTTTTATAAATGTCATAATTGTCCCATTATAATAAATGTCATGTGAACATGACATCGATCTGACACGCATCGTATTTTCTCATAACTCTACCTTTTCTAACCCACGTCAGGTCTTAAAGTCTCTACTAATGAGCTGATGAGTTGAATCGGGTGTGTTAGATGAGGGAGACAGTGCTGGGCTGCTCCAGGACAGTTTTGAAAACCACTGAATTTCAGAGACATGTTCTTAAATGTGACTAACAAATACTTGCATGCATGCACAGATTTAAGGCAGCTTTAATTGCCTTTTTGGTAACTTCATGACTTAACATGCTCGTAGTTTCTTTTGCCCTTTAATATGAAATGATACACAGCCCGCACAGTTGTGTGTATGTGCAATTGAAGAGCACATGCTGCGAGCACAGTATTACTGCTGACAGGACAGAAAAATTCATTTTTACTAACATATGGCCTGATAATATCTCATCTGATCGCAGTTCACTGTTGTTCTACTGAAGCTCCCTCGTCACCAGTACCTTTTCCGTGCTCGCTTGACTAGCGCCTGGCGCTGAGGCTAAGCTGGAGTTCGCGTCTGAAAGGTCTCCCTGATGTGGTCGTAAAGACATTCTGCGTCTATATAAATGCAATTCTTGTCAAGAAAAAAAAAAAAGAGAGAGAAGCAGCAGTTGTGATTGGGGTGGCCAACCCTAGCTCCGATCCTGCGTTATTTGCGTTAAATATTTTTTACGTTTTAAACTGAAAAAATTAATTGAATGCGTTAACCCATTAATTTTGACAGCACTAAATAATATAATAGAATATGATATGATATGATATGATAAGCATTTGTCATTTAAAAGCATTCTTCCTTCCTGGCAGAAATGTTCTCCTAATCAAAGAATCACTCTTAAATGAAACCCAGATCACACTCTTAAAGCAGATCCAAACTGACCTCTGATGATTTCCCCGCCATCAGACTGAGACTGCAGGAAGCTGAACAGAGCTTTGGGGTGAAACGCACAGTCCACGCAGGCTTGGACCGCATGCTGGAGAACCGTGTTCACGGGACCCGGCCCGAAATGATCAGGCAGTTGCAACAACAGTTTACGGTCCAGGTGCGGCCCTGGGTCTCCATGTTTGTTCACATACACACAAACTAGAAGAGGAGAGGGTGGATAGTCAGGTGAAGCGTACAACAGTGCAAAACCATCAGAATACTGAGGAGTACATGGCCCATGTATAGTAGAAAATAAAGGCAGGAAGATAAAAGCCTACCTGTAGACACAACTCCTGAGTCTCTTGTTGTCTGCAGACTAGACAGTCTCCCGTCTGACACCGAGGACGACAACGTGGGGCTTAAAAGTGAATGAGGAACCTTTTGTTTCCTCTGTAAAGGCGGTAGACAGAGTGAGAGATAAAACAACAATACTCACTCTCACTAAACAACACCATTTTGTTTGCCCACCTTCTGACTCTCAAAACAATGGCAAAAGACTACAGATGTCAGACCCTTGTCTGAAACGAAGTGAATCCAGCATGTTTAATGTACCGTTCATGGGGAAGAATTATAGTAGAAGTGTTCATGTTTAATATGGATAATTGCTCATGACATACGACCCACCCTATATCAAACAAAAGCTGCATAATGATCAGTTACTGGGGCAATTTAATACCATTAAAATCCCATTATGTTGGCTACCAATGACATCAGATTCAATCAAAAAAGTAAAAGATAAACGTCAAAATATCTTCTTCAGAAAACAGAAAATCATACAGCTTTGAAACAACATGAGCAAACCAATTAAACCTATTAACTGACCCATTAAACCACAAAAAAGCAGTTCTACCTTGCTGCCGGGTTTGGGTCCTCTCTTTTTATATGGTTTGGGTGTGAGTGGTGAGCTCATGGGACTCTTGGCTGCATTGGACTGCGTTTGGCCATTCGGTGACGTGCCGGCTGCAGCTGCTGCTGCTGCCTCGGCTGCTGCTTTTAGCATGGCGATGGTCTGGCTCTTGGGTCTCCTACCTCGTACCCCCTTGCGCACTGGCAGAGGGGGCAGGGGGTGCGGCAGGCGATACGGGGACTGCATGGGGCGCCAAAACTGACTGGACTGGCCCAGTGCCGGAATAACAGTCTTTGGGAAAGTGACTGAAGTTGGGGGAGGAAAAAAATGAAAAAGGTTATTTTAAGTATCATAATATTATATGATGATTATAAAAACATGAAAACCAAATAATACTAAGCTAATTAATATACATTAAGCTGATTTACCTGTTAAAATTATTTATATAAATCAATTAACATGATGACAAACAAAACTTCCATGGTATTACTGCATTTCTTTAGACATGTTTTATGGTAGTTCCATGAAAGTGCTTTTGAGTATAATGTAAATATAATGGTATATGAATTTCCTAATCATACTGTACCATGATAATATATATATGCAAGTATAAAAGATACCATCACTGCACCACAGGCCCACCATTTTTTTTTTGTAAGAGAAAGGATTTTGATCACAGGTCTGGTTTCGTACTATTAAATCAACCGGTTATTCATCACTAGTAGCATTCAACTTGTTACTACATTGTATTAGAACCTACAAGATGATTATATACCATTGTTTTATTGAGCCCTATTGCCATATGTGCAATATCCGCAAGTTAAATAAAATGATTTATATTGACATTCAACATGAAATTATTAAATCTTACTGCATTAATTTCACCCATCTGGGTCTCATATTACAAATAATAAACAAAAAAAAACATTTGGAAAAAAAAATAAAAAAAATAAAAATGGGAAAACGTGTGACTTGTATACAAAATTTTAAAAAATTTAAAACAAAAGTCAAATTGATTCTCATGCAGACTGGATTGAGTGGATCAAAAAGTGAAGCCACAAACTTTGATCCTTTCCTTTTGAATTTGACCACTTAAAGGCTCATCATACTGCTGAATTCTCTTCCTCAGAGGCCATTTTAGATTTTGCATATTAGAAGGGTCACATTACAGCCCTGAAAGCGGCGGTTTAGAAACGGGCAGCGCAAAAACTGAGTTGTCTAGGGATCCTCTTCAAGACGGAGTTTCAGCTGGCCATTGTGCCCTACAGGAGGCATGTGCTTTTCAGCACCCTATTGTTTTGCAGGCCTCCCCCCAACGGCTCTCTGGTCAAAGGCCTCTTTTCTGAGGCCAACAGGTAATCCTCATTAGGAAGAAAGACTAACCCCCTTCTCCACCTAGATGAGTGCGTTATCAAGCTGCGGGACGAGATTTGACAGGTATGTAAATGCTATGAAAGGAATTCACAGCTAGAACTGCATCTCCGCAGTTTATTTCTAAATCAATTTTATCCTGCACAGAGCGACAGACAATTTTCTATGAATATTACTGAGCAGGCAAGTTAATGTATTATTCATTTTGTTGCTGGTTTAAAATGCGGTGCCTACTTCATAGTCTAATTTTAAAAGGGCACCGTATGGTTATCATTTGAAGCGCCCTACATCATTAAAGCACATTATATTTTCTTTAAAAGCATTTTCTGGTAATGCATGAATGTTAAAAGAACACAAGTGTAGTATACTGAATAAAAATAATATAATAATAAAACAATTCTGTTCTTTTCTGTTCTCTTCAATTTGATTTGCCAATCATATGTACAAGAAAAAGCTCTGCAAAAAAAGAAAGGAAAAAAGACAATAGACAGTGCTTTGATTTATAAGTCCATCAAATGCATCCATGCGAGTTTGCTAATAAAAAATGTATCTCCAATGTGCACACCCTGCCTTTTAAACCAAATATTCTTAATATTTACAAAACCTTTTCCCTTTTCTCTCCTTGAAAACTCATAATATTAAATATCTGCAGTTCAGCATCAACAAATCCATCAATGAAGGTGTAAAATAGCACAAATCGATGCGTTTTGCATTTCAAACAACACTGAAGTGAAATCTCCAACACATACACACCTTCTTCAGACCAATGGCACCAAATTCTCCTATTATTGCCTCTGTATGGGCCATCTCTAAGATCAGATAAACTTCTCATATTACAGGGCGGCTGACGGGCGGTCAGCAGAAGTCGCCTTTGCTAAGTACATCTGGGAGCTTTCACAGAGTCCTACGTGCAGCTGCTCTCCTAGGCCTCGAGAGGGGAGTGGGAAGAGAAATTAAGCCCGAGACGCATACGTTTAATGAGGAGAAGAGAAAAAGCGTGTGAGGAATGGACAAGTGTTTTCTTTCATTTGAAAGAGGGCAATTCTCATTCAAATATTTTTTGAATATAAGAGGGCACGCGAGGAATCAAGCTTATTAAGCTCACATATGCATAATAGGCATGCAAAACAGAAGCAAAGATTTTCAGAAGCTCTGTCACGGACAATGTACAAGCAAACTTTATCCACCCTAATTGGTCTGTGTGTAAAGGTGAAGCGTATTTCAAACCAGTTTCTCACTGGCTGAATGGCAAACCAGTGACCCCTAGGTTGACTCCCAGTGCACAGACACACACCCTTCAGCTCAGTGCAGGACCTGGGGGCCTCTGGTCATGGGAGAGGTTGCGACCGATGTGGAACGAAGGTGTCCGGGCAAAACCAGTCTAATTACTCCATCTCTTCCACAATATTTACATTTCGCCCCACACCAGACCAGAACGCCAGGGCAATCTGTCTACGGCTGACTGCAGCTTCAACTCAGCAGGAACTAGAACCACATGTTGTGGGAGAGTAACACCGAAAAAGAGCGTGTCTGTCCATGCATATGCGTGTGTGTGGTAAAAGGGGATATAGGGTTCCCTGAGCCCCAGGCAATTTAATGAAACAATGCAATCTGTTAAAGAACCGAAGTCAAAACAGCTACAGTGGTTCAACAAAAGCTTTCAAATATTTTTGTGGTTTCTGTACAAAAATACTTTTACTTTTACTAGTCAGCAGGATTTTTCCATTCAGCTGGAAATTAGTTAAAGCTTATCAATTATTGAATTACTCTACCTGATGCATATTTACTTTCTTGCTAAAACAAACTTCAGATGTGAATTCAGCATGGCATGAAACATGTAACAAATCTTTCAGTAAAATAAATACATCACTTTGACCATATATAAAAATCAAATTTACTTGTTTCTTAAGGACTCTTTTTGTGGCAAGCCATATTAACATTTAATATTATATATTTTTATGTTACTAGTATCATATTTTTGATTACTAATAAGTATTCCAAGAGTGACTAGCATCTTAATATGCAGTGAATAAGTATTAGTAACAGTTGAATAGATGCTTAGTATCAGGGCTGCGTTTACACTGGCACAAAAAATTAGATTTTTTTTGCTCACATCTGACACAGATCGGAACTGTCGACACGTGTAAACACAAAAATCCGCACAAGATCCGATTTTTTCGCATCTGATCTGAGTCACTTCCAAATGTGGTTTTAAATCAAATACATATCCGATATCTGGACATCCATCCTACGTCTAAACACACATATCCGATTCCCCGCAGAACTCCCAATGCGAGGGCGACACGTTTGCCCATTAAAATTGTGTTTTAATGCTGGTGTGCTGTATACACTCACATTTTATCAAGGTGGGAACTTTATATATAGGTAAGAAATTGCGCAACATTCAGGAGCTGGTTTTCAACTTCTCCCACTCGTGCATACCCTCTCTCTCTCTCTCGTTAATTCATTCAAATAAATATAATCTTACAGCGCTACTTTATTTCACTTCGGAATTCAGTTGTGTCTAAAGTGAATGTAAAAAAGCGGGCCAAAAAAATCAGATATGGTCAAAAGATTGCATCTCTGCATTAGGACTTAATTAGGCAAAAGCAACTACTCCTTCATTACTGTAACACATTTCCTTTTTCCCTGTTGAATTCAATGGTGATCTGTGGTTCAGATATTAACCATTCACTTCTGACTAGTATGAATTCCGATTGTTGCTGGTATCAATTCAGAAAGATTTAAAGGGGTCATATGATGCTTTTTTAAAGATCATTATTTTGTGTATTTGGAACTCCACTGTGATGTGACCCCCTCTCCCTCTCTCTTTCTCTCTCTCTCTCTCCCGCTCTCCCTCGCTCTCTCTCCCTTTCTCTCTCTCTCCCTTTCTCTCTCGCTCTCCCTCTCTCTCTCGCTCTCCCTCTCTCTCGCAAGTAGTGTGTTCTAGCATGCAAAGAATAAATATTAATGACTATTAAACAATTACTACTGGAATAAGTACTAGAATCCAATGAACAATTACTAGTGAAATTGAAAAAAAAAGAGAAAAAAAAAACCCACTAGTCACAATTGCATTACTTGTAATTAAAAAAACAACTAGTAACAAAGACTATTATTGATTTTGATTTAAAAGAATAAATATTAAAATGGCTTGCCACAGTCTTTCAGCTCAATGAATGCTTTTCACAAATAGAGAAATAAAAGTGGAGTGTTAGTCCACTACATCAAGAAGAAATGAAAGCAACAGGAATGAAAACCTTTACAAAAAATACACTCAAATTAAACTCATGTGACCTAAATGCACAAGGCACTAAAACAAAGCAACAGACATCAGAGACAAAAGCCTCGGAAATATACCAGAGGAACTCACCAAAACGCCAACTTTCAACTATATCCGCGTTGTGCACCAACGAATCCGGTGTAAATCTCTCTCTTGGAGGAGAAAGTCTGTTTTAAAGCAATAGAACAACCGGAGCTAGCACTCACTTTCGCGCCCGGTTTGAACAGCAGCAGCACCAGCGGTAGCGGTAGCGGTAGCAGAAGCGCATGACAAAGCTCGTGCCGGTGGAGCCCTGATCGGCCAATATATTTCATTAATATGGAGGCGGGGACGAGGAGACAGGAAGAGGCGGGGGAGGAGGAGGAGGGAGATTGGCGGTCGTATTCATATTATGAGTCAGATTGACTATGGCAAGCCGTTTTGACTTTTATTCATTCTCAGGATATG